AATGGAAGCGTGAGTAGTTCTTCTATAATTGGAAAGGAGTTGAATATTTTTGTTTCTAAAAACAAGTAGAAGCATAAAGAGAAAAATAAATTAAGACCAAAATATCTCTGTCATATATACATATTTATTAATATATCTTACTAATTTTCTATTTATATATCGTTCTTACTAAAAATAGATGATCTTTAATACTATCTCCGTTCATTTTTAATTGTCATAGTTTTAGAGTTAGATGAAATAACTTTGACTAACATTTTACAATATTTTTTTCATTATATTGATATGCAAGAAAATTATAATTTATAGTACTTTTCGTATAACTTTTTGGATATTAAAATATATATTGTTTAAAATATCAAATTAATAAATCTAATTTAAATTTAAAAATTAGTCAAATTAACTTTCAAAAAACATAACATGACAACTAAAAGTGAACATAGAAAGTACTTATCATTTCACAAAATCAATGCATAAATAACATTATTCTTTCTTATTTATCCTTGAAAGTTATTAAGCCTTGAAAGTATGAATTTGACCAATATACAAAAACTAAATGATTAATTTATGTTCATAGATGAATATAATTAATCAAATATAATTAATTTATGTTCATTTATTGAAATTTGACTTTAAAAGAAGGGAAAAGGGTAAAAAAACAAAAACTCAACTTTGGTTTATTGTTCAATTTTACCCTCGCCGTTAAAATAAAGTTAAATTTACCCCCTCTAAATATTAATTTCACCAAAATCACTCCTCATTAGGCGAAATCTCCAAAATTGATCCAAATTAACTCAATTACCCGAATTTATTTGAAAAAACATATTCCCTATTTTTAATTCAAGACCCGACACAACCCGGTACCAATTAATCTAATGCCCCTATTATCCATTCTATTTTCTCCCAAATTTGCCCATTATGTTCTCCTCTGATTTTATATAGGATCTTGCTCAACAAATCAAATTTATTTTTATAGATAATCTCCTTTGCTCAATCTTTCCATTGTTGGAACCCATTATTAGCACTGTTGGATTACTGCAGCACTTATTTTGGCATTTAAATTGGATCTTGTAAAGAATGCTTCTTCGATCAACTTTGTTAGTTCCTTCAATAATGTCTTTGCTAGTTTTTGAGTAACAATTTCTACACTAACTTAGTGCAGCCTAACATTAATACAACTTGTCTTACTCAATAAAAGAAGTTCTTTGAAGGTTGCAGAGGACTTGGGAGTTCAACCCAAATGTGATTGCAGAACGATTCTCATGACAAGCTAAAATTTTCAGACAACAACAATAACTAGCAATAGAATGTTTTCTTCTATCAAACCCTTCAAAGTCACAAGCCCCTTTTGACATGATTTTTATTTATGGACGATGCTCATTTGTGGCTTCACAATCACTATGATAACCAACTTTAGGAGAAAAAGAGGAAGATTTTGATTTGTTGAGCAAGATCTCGTAAGAAAATCAGAGGAGAATTTAATGGGAAAAATTTGGGAGAAAATGAGAATAGGTAATAGGGGCATTCGGTTAATTGGTACCGGGTTGGGTCGGGTCTTGGGTTAAAAATAAGGGATAGGGTTTTTAAAAAAAATCGGGTAATTGGGTCAATTTGGGTTAATTTTGGAGATGCCATCTAATGAGGGATAATTTTGGTGAAATTAGTAAAGGATCAGTATATTTAACTTTATTTTAGTGGCGAAAGTAAAGTAAAATAAACCAAAGTTAAAGGTATTTTTGATCTTTTTCCCTTAAAATAAGGAAAAATGTACAAGTACCCCTCAATCTATGTCCGAAATCTAAGATACACACTTATAATATACTAAGGTCTTATTATCCTCTGAACTTATTTTATTAATAATTTTCTATTCTTTTTCGGCCTACGTGGCACTATCTTGTGGATCCAACGTTGGTTGACTTTTTTTTCAAGCTAGTGTCACGTAGGCCGAAAAGAGGTAGAAAATTATTAATAAAATAAGTTCAAGGATAATAGGACTTTAGTATAATAAAAGTGTATATCTGAAATTTCGGGCGTAGAGGGGATACTTGTGCATTATCCCTTAAAAGAATGTAAAATAAAGGTATAATTATAAATTTGTTTAGTTTCTTGAAAGATGTGAAATCTAAAATCGTGAGACATAAATAGAAACGAGGGAGGGGGGGGGGGGGATAGTATTAATTAATTAGCATATCTCAAAAATTTGGTTAAATTTCATTTAGAAATATGCTTATATATATGCTTATATATTATTATTTAATATTTTGTATTTTATATATTATTATGTAGGGTTAGAAAAAATGTAACAACAATACATTTGCAGGAGTATAAAAAAAATAAAAAGAATTATGACTTCATTTATTTTTGTGCTAAATTTTTATATGTAATAATTTAATTTGTGGAATAATGTTTAAACTTATTTTGCTTTATATTGAAATCGCCACCTTAATATTACATCAATATTTAATTATATCATAATAAATATTTAAATTGATTTCTCTTTATAGAATAAATTTAATATTAAAAGTGCATTAATTCTTTTTTTTTTTTTATAATTTGACTGTCAGAAAAATACCTTTTAAAAAAAATTAGTCAAACATAATCTAATCAATTATCAATAAAATGAAAGTCAAACATAAATTGATCTTTTTTCAAGATCACTTTTCTAGAAATTTATTTTTTAAAAGTGCTTGTAAAAATAAGTAACTTTTAGTAGGTGTGTCAAACAGGCTTGCTATTTGGTAGAAAAAAAGTATATATCTATGTATATTTTTCTTAATATATGATAAAAACTTTTAATAAACGATAAAATACGTAAAATTTAAATATAATTAGTATATATAATATGAATGTAGTCTAATAAAGTTATTTTCCCTAATTGGATGGGCTAGCAAATTGGTATAATTTAACTCGTTTGATTTTTATTAAGTCGTCATTTGACAATGAAAATTAAGTTGTATTTACTTTATTTGGAATTATAAAATTAAGATCAAAGTTATGTTTGATCACTTTTTGCAAAAAATATTTAGATTTGAATGTAATTTTTTTAAAATTATGGTCTATACACGTCAATTTTTAAAAATAGCTAAATCATCTAATTTAACAAATTTACTTGTACTCATATAATTATATTTGCTCGTAACATCACAAATAGATAGTCCCATTATATCACAAATTAGATCTCTTATATAAGCTACTTCATACCATTACAAAAAAAATTTTACTTTATTTTGAAATTTTTTATAAAAATTTGATTATAATTTATGTAAATAATATTTGATTGTTGAATGTACATTTTCAAAAAAACATGTAATATGATTTAAACAAAAAATATACTACCTTCGTAGACTTTTATTTGTTATGATTTCTCTTTTTAGAGTCAAACAATAAGAATATTGACTAATATTTTATAAAATATTTTTTCGTCATATTGATATGCAAGAAATTATAATTTATAGTAACTTATTATCGTATAATTTTTAAATATTTAAAATTTTTATTTAAAATAACAAATTACTATAATTTTATTTAAATTTAAAAATTAATTAAATAATATTTTTAAAAATTTAACGATAATTAAAAGCGAACGAACGGAGTAATGTATAGAGGGTTATTTTAATAAATAATTTAAATCCATTTAACAGGAGATTTGAGTAATATATCTGTTATTAGTCATTCACTTTTTTTTTTTTTTTGGCCCTTTACCCAAAGTTCAAAGAAGGTGGGTCCAATGAATTCAACTACTTTCATCCAACATTCATATCATATGATCATTATTAATACGAAGCATAACATCATTCTTTCCTTTTTCATTTATGTACGTTCCCTTACTTTCCTACGTGATATCACGTAAACGTTAACTACCATTCATTTTCTCTTCATTACTTTTTTTTTCTATAAATAATAGAATTAAGTTTAAAATAGTTACTCCTCCCCCTCCAAAAACAAAGTTACAGTCCTGCTTAGAAATTCTATAAAATACGTGTTTGATTTCAGTTAAGAGTATTATATTTTTTTAAAATATATCTCAAATATTTTGTAAATTTATTAAATATTTATAAAAATCAATGTAGATCAAATAAATTTGAGAAATACAAATTTAAAAAGAAGAATAAGGGAGAAACAAAATTATACACACTATTTATCAATATAATGCTCTTGTTTCTTCAAATTTTGTTTGTGATTATTTATTTGTATCACTTAAAAATTTGTTTGTGATTACTTATTTCTATCACTTAAAAATTTGTCGGAAGTCATTTGCTTCTAATATATTTTCACAACTCCACAATTTTAGATCTACATTATATCTTTCCTCAATATATTCTCCCTTAGTCTCAATTTTTCTTGCACTTTCGAATTTCGAGACTTAAACAAGTGTATCTTTGACTGTAAAATTTAAAATTTAAATAATTTAGATGAAGCAAAGGCAATATTTGTTTGAGATAAACTAAAAAAACGTGTGCAGTATAATTGAATCAGAGGCGAAGCTAGAATTTTTAATAAGGGGTTCAAAATCTATAGAAATAGACACATGAAGTAGTCGAAGGGGGTTGAACATCTATTATATATAGATATAAAGTTATTTTAACCATATACAAGGTAGCTCCGTCCCTAATTGAAGCTCACCTATTTATGTTCATATTTAATGTGGGCAAAGGGTGGCCAATTATAAATCATTTCTAATAAATTATACGATATATTGTTAAAATTATAGGTCAAAAAATAATAAAATTTTTATGATTTCGCCACTTATAGTATTACCTTAGCCAACCCTCCCCACCCACAAACAAAAGGGTAAAACTTGATAGAGGAAAGCATGCATTTTAAGAAATTAAAAAATAGTGACAACCAAAACCAAACTAAAGAGAAGCTACTATATGCACAGTTAGTTTCTGTATCCTTTCTTTCGGACAGGCATGAGGCAACAAGAAGGTAAAAGAGGGAAAACAAAACAGTCCCTTTTATATATCTCTCCCTTCTCTCTAGTACTAGTGAACTCCAAATAATAATAATGAAAAATAAATTATATTCAATATTAAAAACATAATACTAATATGATTCATTGAAATCCAAGATAGAGTAAGTCATTATAAAATACAACAAACCCTACCTAATTTCTTCGTGAAAAAGAAGGAGAAAAAAAAAGTGATACTAGCTAGCTAGGACAATATAATTGTCAATGTTCCCTTTACTAATAGTATATAGGATTAGAGCCAGAGGGCTCCGGCTTGTTTGAGTAGAGGAACAAGTGTACCATTTATATGACAAGCCATAACTGTTTCAATTCCTCCTAAGAATTTTCCACCAACGAACACGGCCGGCACAGGTTGTTGCTGCCCATCCCCGGCTAGTTGAAACAACAAAGCATGAATTTCTTTGCCAGCAACATCTCTATCTAGCTCAACAATAGTAGGTCCAACACCCAGCCCAAACAGTAACTGTTTCACAACGTGACACATGCAACAACCACTCATTGTGAAAACCACCACCGCATTACCTGACACTAACAACCTCACCCTTTCGTATATCGACTCCATTCTTGATTCTCCAACCATCCTCATAGACGATGACTCCTTCACTACCTGCATTTTCTATTGGGTTTTTTTTTTTTTGATAAAATAAATTTGTTTGTTAGTATCATGATGAATAAAGATTGGGTTTTATAGGAGTAATGCTGGTGGTGGTGGGGGTGGGGGTGGGGGGTTAGGGGGTTTATTATAGTTAGGGACATAGTAGCTGAACCCGGCAAATTCTGACGAGTTCGATATTTCCTCATTTTTACAACAGCAAACAAGGCGCAGTACGATTCATCTTTTCCCAATCATCTACTTTATTTGCATGCCTTTCCTCTACCTTTTTCCTTTTCTTTTACAAATATATGTTTGTAATTAAAGAGAAAAGGGATGACTAAAGTGGATATGCTCATTAACTTTCGTTTATTTACTTTGCTTAGTTTTGAACGAACATATCTATTATGAAAAAATAATTATTAATGTATTGAATTGAGTAATTTATTTGTAATGATTATGAAATTAATGAATTAAAAAATTTAATTATTTTAAAAAAAGTTTTATTTTTTTCAAAAATTAATTAATTAAAAATATAACGGATAAAAAGATTTTTATTTTTTATTTGTCAAAAAACCAAGTTTAGGGAGTATGTAATTAACTAAGACGATGTTATTAGGACTACTTGATGAGAGAATAATTACTAGTACTATTAATTAAATTTGTTTATCCTACTTTTTATTTTAATTAATTTAATAAAAATGTCTCTTTCCCATTTTTATGGTATTTTAATTCTAACTTTTCAAATGAATTAGTCAAATATAAATTAAAACCATTTATCTTAAATAAAACTATTTTTAAAAATATAAATCCTATAATAAACAAATTTTAACAGTAAAGCCAAACATATTCGATAAATCTGAGTTTTAAATGAAAAGTGTGTATACGGTATTTAAATGGTATTTTAGAAGTATATTGCATTTTCTATTGGGGTTAAATAATAAAAATAATTGGGGAGAAGAAATTTGTTTGTTAGGATCATATAGGTGTAGTGGGGGTGAGGGGTTTACTCATATTATAGGGTAGGAGTGTAATATAGTTAGGGACATAGTAGCTGAACCGGCCGGCAAATTCTGACGAGTTTGATATTTCTTCGTTTTTACAACAGCAAACAAGGCGCAGTATTGATCGTTTCCCAATCATCTACTTTATTGGCATGCCTTTCTTCTAACTTTTCCCTTCTTTTTTACTACAATGTGTGTGTAATTAAAGAGAAAGGGGATTGACTAAAGTAGATATGGTCATCAACTTTTGTTTATTACTCTATCTATTTATAAATTGACATATTTTATTAAAAAATAATTATTAATATAGTAATTTTAACATTTTATCTTTATTAATTCTCTAAGTGTATAATCTCACTTTGGTATGGGAAGTGCATCCACACATGACATTTACATTAAAATGTAATATGTTTCGGAAATACTTTTCTATTATTATATTATAATTAAAAAATAATGGTCTGATTTTCTTTTTAATTTGTTTAAAAAAATAATTATTTTTTTGTAAAATTTTAAATTTAATTTTTCATGTAACATTTTTAAGGATACAATAACTAAATTAAAAAATCTTTTTTATTTCTTAAACTTTAAAAATGAAAGAGTACTAATTAATAAATTCAATATGATAATAAATTACTTATGAATTGTGTTCCCACTAAATTTCTTGAACTTAAAAAAAAAGAGTACTAATTAATAAAAAAAATTCAAAATGTTAATATTTTAACATTTAAGAGGCCTCATTAGTAACACTTTCAATATTTAGTAAAAATATCAAATTTTAATTTATTATGTATCTTATTTATGTTTTTATTATTTGTTTATTTAAAGAATAGAATTATTTAGTAACAAAAGGGAGAAAATCAAGGGAGAGAATATTTCCAAAAAAAAAAGATAAACTCATTTAATTTTCTCATCAGTTACATTTTCAAATAAAACTCAATCTTTGTTCTTTTTTCCCGATAATCATAATCTTTTTTATCAGTTTGTATTCGTTCCAATAGGTATGCCAAATGAATCTATAGTTATTAGAAGCATATTTGTATTCATATATTTTTTTCATGTGTATTTATTTGTTTCTTTAAAAATTTTGTATTTCGTATTCATTTCAATATATATTTTATTCGTATTTTTATTTATTCTCTAGTTTTTATTTAGAATATTGTATAATAATAAATAAAATACAAAAATGTAGTATGATAAAAAATTGAGATAATAATTTTTAGACAAGAACATATCACTTAAAATATATCATCATTAACAATTTCCAAAAAACCACACCTTTTTCATTCTATTAGATCAACTTTTCTTTGTTATGTTTTCATTTTAATTGTATACCAATATTTTTTTACATTTTATGCGCTCACTTTACAATTCAAATTAAAATTGATTTTTTTCTTTCAAACTACAAATTGTATACAAATTGACTACAAAAGAAATATGAATACAAAATTCTGGAAAACATATAGCATACATAGTAAAATAATATAATCAATATACAATATTCTAAAAAAATACAAATTAACTGTTGAAAAACAGGATACATATATGTTTAAGAAATACAAATTCATATAAGATAGCATACATAGTGAGAATGATATAATCAGAATACAATATTCTAAAAAAATATAAATTGACTGTTAAAAAATAGAATATATATATGCTTAAGAAATAAAATTCATATGAGATACGTATTTGAATGACTACAAATAAAAAAGAAATATAATGTTCTTAATAAATATACAAATGATGAGTAAAAGAAAAATAATTGACAAACAAAAGTTAACATGAATATTATTCTGATATGAATACACTTTCGCAACCTTCTTCTTTAACTCTCTCTTTCTTCTTCGTCTAATATGTTCCTTTTTTCCAATTATTTTCACTAAATTCAAATCTGAATCTGTGTTTATTTGTAAATGAATAACCCTATGAGCAAAATTCGAAATTATTAAATATGAATATATAAAATTAAAATCAAACAATATATTATGTACGAATGCTTATGTGGCTTACTACAAATTACAATCTACTAAATCTAAAATATGAAAATAAAATCATAAAAAAGTGTTTCAAATACTAAAATTCTGAAATGCATAAATATTTGATGAGTATGTTAACAAACTCATATAAAAATAAAAAAAATGACGAAAAAATTATAATACATACAATCCAAAATTCAACATAATTTTCTTTTTCGAAAACAAAATCTTATGAAATCTTGCAAAATAAAAGATGATTATGAAAATACCTTTATGTATTGAGAGATTTCTTGAATTAATCGATAGATCTTAACAAATTGATATAAACTTGAATAATTAGTTCTTCTTCAACAATGAAAGACAATAATAGTGAAAATGGTAAAAGAGATTTTTTTTTTTTGAAAATCTTAAAGATAGAAATAAATTTAATGGTATTAAATTCTAGAAGAAGTTTAAATGGATAGTGAATATATTTTTTGTTGAACTGTTTTGAAAAATAAAAGGAAAGACAAATAATAGTATATACAAATTATTTTTAAAATATTAACATTTTAACATTTTAATAAATATTTTAAAGTATAAGTATTTTTACTAATTAAATGAAAAATTATGATTATTTTACTAATTTTTTCCTTTAATAATTCAACATGATAATAAATTACTATAGCCCTAAGAAAAATGAATTGTGTGAGGCCCACTTAGTGAAAGGAGGCAAGTCATATTCCGAACAAGAAAATATGGTACAGAAATTCACCAAAATTAGATGTGAGAGAAATGAGAATGACATGGGAATAGGGATAGGACAAGTGTTACCTCATACATACTGCAACCTGAAACTCACACTTCAAAAATGCTTTTCTGTCTAAAAAAATTATTATTATTTTTATTGATATTATATATTATTATCTTTTTATCTTTTATCTGGTAAGGTTCAAAGGATGAGAAAAATGCTTAATTTTCTTGTGAGTGTGAACTCAAATTTATTTTAAATTTTGTATTGTATATGAATATGTTTGGATTCATATAAAAGTAAGGATAAATCATTCTAATAATTACTAATATGAATAATTTTGAAGATATTTCTCTAAATTTGTGTTCAAAATCGAATGACACAAGTAATATATATATATATAGAGAGAGAGTTGGGAACCAAAATAAGTCACAAAAATATAAAAGTAATTAAAATAAGCCACTATTTTAGTAAGTAATAAAATAAGTTTAGTGGAAGAAAAAGTTCCACTATATTCAATTTTCTAAACGTTTTCTGTTACTGCCATAACGTTTACTTTTTAATATATAACGGAACTTTTTCTTCCACTTTATAAAGTGGAACTTTTTATTCCACTTTATAAAGTGGAAGAAAATCTTCCATTTTATAAAAATTTTCTTCCACTTTATAAAAAGTTACCTTTTCATCTTCACCTTCTCTCTCTTTCCTTTTTATGGCTTCCAAAAAAAATTCACTTTGAAGATGGTCTCAATCCGACAATTTGAAGCGGCCCCACACTAAACAAATTGATTTTGTTTATATCAAAATCATATCGGTCGGTAAGAGTATTTTGATAATGAGTCATTTTAGGAAAATCAGTAGATTGAGTTATCGAAAATCCATCAATGCTATTGTCGTTTTCTAATTAGGGATGAACATCGACTGATAAAGGAGAAAGTTGTTGACTAATCTTAGGCTCCTTCCTAACATAGATTTTAAGTATTGTTAACTTGATTTGATCTATATAGTCATTTGGAACCCTTAAAAAGTCGATCAACGATTCGTCATTATAGATAATTCACTCTCCAAAATTTACTTGTTCTTGTGATAAAAATGAAGTAGAGTATTTTTCGGCTATAATCAAATTATAATCATACTGTTTATACCCATTCTTTATAAATTGATGAAATAAATTTATGATATCGAATATTTATTGGATATTTAGAATTGTGTTTGGGAGAACAATTATAATAGATGGTATTTCCGTCATGTATAATTTCGTCATCTCAATAAATTGAAACTTTAACTTTATGTGTAGAAGATATTTTTTTTAGATTGAAATGAACAAATATAGAAGACTTTATGTTGTAGGTGTTATCAACTATG